GGAACTTTATTATCAATCGATTTACAATGTTCCAGTGAACACATTTTCAAGTAGTTATTCTATGCTGAACACAGGTTCTAGTTTCAAAACAGATTTGGAAGACAATTTGGTAAATGCTGGAACAGGAAAAAATTATGGAGCAGAATTAACGGTGGAGAAATTTTTCAGCAAAGGTTATTATAGTTTATTTACTTCGTCTATTTACAGTTCAAAATACAAAGGAAGTGACGGAATTGAAAGAAATACCGCTTTCAACGGGAAATATGTTTTCAATATTTTGGGAGGAAAAGAATGGAAAGTTGGGACGGAAAACAGAAACAAAATTTCTGCTGATTTTAAATTTACCAATGCAGGAGGAAGAGCTTTCACACCTATAGATGTTTCTGCGTCACAATTGGCAAATAGAGAAGTGCTTTCTACCAATGCTTATTCATCTAATTATGATAATTATTTTAGATTAGATCTTAAAGGAACTTACACCATCAATAGCAAAAACAAGAAATTATCTCAATCTTTCTCATTAGATTTACAAAATGTGACCAATCACAAAAATATGTTTTCGCAAACGTATGATAATCGAAGCATGAATTTGAATACCACTTATCAATTAGGTTTCTTCCCAAATTTTATTTATAAATTGCAGTTTTAGAAATATAAAAAAAATATCTCAAAAGATTAAAAAAGATTAATACATGATATTTTTTTAACCGCAACTCTTCAACAAGCTCAGAATAGCAAAAGATTGTATGCATTTTCAAGTTATTCAAAAGTAAAAAAAGCAACGGAATAAACTGTTTCTAAATTTTTTACTTTTGAAATACTACCAATTTTAAGTTAGCTTTTGTCTCTTTTGTGGTTTAAAAAAAATTATACTAAAAAAATATTCACAGATGAAAAAAAGTAAATATAGAATATTCTATATGTTTTTGATTGGTTTAGCCATCGCTTTTCTGTTCAAAATACTGCTGTTTCACAGTCCGAGATTTTTTGATGACGAAATTCTTTTTGTGAGTATTACCACTGTGATTTTGTGGGAAGGAAATATTAGAATTGATGAGTATTTAAGCCAATTGTATTAATCATTTGGCAAGGAAATGAATTTATAGACAATTGGCTCAATAAACGAAACCCTTGGATTGAAAACGCTAGAAAAAGGTTAACTATTCAAATTTTGATTTCGGTTGTTTTTACCTCAATTACTTTGTTTTCATTAATGGCTTTGCTTCATCAATTTAGATTTGGTGATGGTAGAATTATTAATCGAAAAATGATAGAAATTTTCCCTCCTGCAATCCTTTTTACCTTTGCATTTTTGGCTGCAAAAATAGGAAGTGAGTTTTATATAAATTTAAAAAATAGTCTAATTGAAATAGAAAAACACAAAACAGAAAGTGCTAATGCGCAATTGCAAAATTTAAAAAATCAATTAAATCCGCATTTTTTGTTTAATAATTTGAGTGTTTTGACTTCATTAGTATATAAAAATCAAGACAAAGCGGCAAATTTCATTAGCGAATTGTCTAAAGTGTATCGCTATGTTTTAGACACAAAAAATTCTGAATTGGTTACTTTGCAAGAAGAATTAGATTTTATTAATCATTATATTTATTTACAAAAAATACGTTTTGAAGACAGTATTTTGTTCGAAATTAATGTAGAAGAAAACAAGAAAAATGATTTTTTATTACCCATGTGTTTGCAAATGGTTGTTGAAAACACCATACAACACAACGAAACTTCGCAAACCAATCCGCTAAAAGTTAAAATTTATACTCAAAATAATTCTTTAATTGTTGAAAATCCTATTAAACCCAGAAAAGAAATGGTAAACAGTTCAAAAACAGGTTTGAAAAATATTCAAAAAAGATATTCATTCTTTACCGATGAAAAAGTAATTATTGAAAACAACGGAACCATTTTTAGAGTAATTTTACCCTTAATTCCAAAAAAATGAAAGTTGTAATCCTAGAAGACGAAAAATTATCGGCTGAACATTTGGCTGCATTATTGCAAAAAGTAGATGCTTCAATGGTTGTTACAAACTATTTTGACACCATTTCGGCCTCGGTAACTGCTTTTAAAGAAGGACTGAAAGTGGATTTAATTTTTATGGATATTCATTTGGCAGATGGCAATAGTTTTGAGATTTTCAATCAAATACAACTCGAAATTCCTGTAATATTTACAACTGCTTATGACAATTATGCCATTCAAGCATTCAAACAAAATAGCATAGATTATTTATTGAAACCTATTGCATTGCAAGATTTACAATTTGCGATTGATAAATTTAAAAAACACCAAAAGTTAGGAAATAAAGAACTTATTTCGAGTATTGCAATGGCTTATCAGCAGATGAATAAAGAATTCAAAACACGGTTTTTAGTCAAGTTAGGACAAACCATTGACACCATTCCTGTGGAAGAAATTCATCATTTTGAAACTAAAGATAGTTTGTCTTTTTTAGTAACAAACAAAGGAAACCACTACCCTATTGATTATACGTTAGACCAACTGGAAACAATGCTGCAACCCAAAAATTTCTTCCGAATTAACCGAAAGATTATTCTTAATATTCAATCGATAGAAAAAGTAAGTACTTATTTTAATAGCCGTCTTTCAATTGCAACAAAATATTTAGATAACGATGCAAGAATTGTTAGCAGAGAATGAGTGAATGATTTTAAAAAATGGTTGGATAATTAAATTTTATGAAATGAAAAAAACAACTTTATTCCTTTTATGTTTAGCTTTTTATGCAACAGCACAAACCAATCCAGATATTTCTAAAAGTGCAATTAAAATCGAAATGCTTTTTCCTGAAGGGAAATCCAAAGCACTAATTTTAAGCTATGATGATGGTGCAAAACAAGATAGAAAATTGGTAGCACTAATGAATAAATATCAATTTATTGGAACGTTTCATTTGAATTCAAATAAATTAAGTACCAATAGCTATTTTGACTATTTGAATAAAGAGGAAATAAAAGAGCTTTATAAAGGGCATGAAGTTTCGGTTCATACTGCTAATCATCCTAATTTACCTGACATTTCTAAAATAGATGTAGTTTATGAAATTGTAGAAGATAGAAGAGAACTAGAACGCTTGATGGGTTACCCTATAAGAGGAATGGCTTATCCTTTTGGTAATACCAATGATGCTGTAATTGAGGTAATTGATGGACTAGGAATTGAATATGCAAGAACGGTTGGAGATACTTATAATTTTGAAATTCCTAAAGATTTTTTGCGTTGGTTTCCAACAATACATCAATTTGCAAAAGCATATTGGGAGCCTAATCAACCTGAAAAAGACAAAAAAGAATTGGAAATTTTTTATAAAACAATAAATGACTTTTTGCAAACAAAAGACCTTGCCGTTTTAGACATTTGGGGACACAGTTGGGAAATGGGAACCGATCAAAATAAATGGGAAGAAACCGAAAAATTCTTCAAATTACTATCTAATAATCCAACTATTTATTATACAACACATATTGGATTAGTGGATTATATCAACGCTTTTAGAAATTTAAAATTTTCTATAAATAAAGATATCGTTACCAATACAAGTTCTTTTGATATTTATATAAAAATGAATGAGAAAATTTATAATGTTTTGGCAGGAAGTACAATGGAATTAAAATAATAAAGTTTATAAAATTTTAATAAATCAAGTGTTATTTAGTTTTTTAAATACTTGAAAAACAATTATTTAGAAGTGAATTTGGATATAATAATTCCTACAACGGCAACCATATAAAATTGTCCCACCATTCCAAAAAAAGCGGTTACTAATTTGAACCGATCTGTGAGGAGAAAATAGAGATTGGCTCCATTCCAATTAAAATTTTTGGAATCTGAAACCGATGCCAGATTATGATGGACTGCAACAGATTTGCAACTGAACAAAAAAGATAAAATAAGAAGACAGACTAATTTTTTCATTACTGAATTTTGATTCTAATTTTAGAAAATTAAATTTAGGGTATATTTTTTTATTTTTCCACTTTTTTGGGTGGAATTTTCAGCGAAATATTAACAATAATATAAAGTAAAACTCAAGTTAAAATTAATAAAAAACTATGATGATTGATGTTGGAACAAAATGTTTTTTTTAAAGTTGGTCTTATTAGTAGGTAATAAGTGATGTTTGATAATATTAAGTAACTAAAAAAAAACAATCAACCATCAATACGCCATTTCCACTATTTTTTTGGCATCTTCTGGTTTTACAATTCCTTTTTCTCCTAATTTCAACCAATTTCTTTCGATGAAGGTTTTTTCTATCTTTTCAGCAACACCAGAAAAATTTTCGGTATAATCTAAAAGCTTTGTTTTGATTCCTAAACTTTGGAAAAACGCCTCCATTTTATCAATACCTTTTAGTGCTTGTTCTTCTGTGGTACCTTCTGATATTCCACAGATTCTTTGTGCATATTGCGCCAATTTTTCTTTTTTAGTTTCCAAATTATAGCGGTAATGAGAAGGTGCAATAATTGCCAAAGTTCTAGCATGATCTATCCCGAATTGCGCTGTTAGTTCGTGTCCCATCATGTGAACCGCCCAATCTGAAGTGACACCTTTTTGTATCAAACCATTCAAAGCCATGGTACAACTCCACATAAAATTGGCTGCAGCATCATAATCAAAATCATTTTGCAAAACTTTGGGCGCTACTTCTTGTAAAGTGAGCAAAATACTTTCTGCAAATCTATCTTGCAATGTTGCCGTAGTTTTCAGTGTCATATATTGTTCTAAAACATGGGTATAAGCATCTGCAATTCCGTTAGCAATTTGTTTTTTCGGAATAGATTTGATCACTTCATGATCTAAAATTGAAAATAGTGGGAACAAACCAGGACCTCCCATTGCTAATTTTTCACCAGTAGCTCTTCTGGAAACCACAGCTCCAGAATTCATTTCAGAACCAGTAGCTGGAAGCGTGAGAATTGATGCAAAAGACATCCCTTTTCCTTCTTCTGTGCGAATTCCGTTTTTTAGAATTTCCCAAGGTTCGCCATCATAATTGGCAGCTGCAGAAAGAAATTTGGTACCATCTATCACAGATCCACCACCAACTGCTAAAAAATAATTTATTTTTTTTTCTCTAACCGGTGCGATGGACCCCGAATAAAGCCTGAGAAACGTGAGGAAGCCCTTGTGCGCGTCATGGCAGCTCTTGAAGGAGAAGCCGCACAGGTCGTCGTCGTAGAGGTCGCCGTAGTTCCTCCCCAGGTCCAGGGGGCTCGGGAGGTACGACACGATCCCGTCCATCAGGGGTTGCACGCCCAGGTTCTTCAGGGAGCTGCCGAGGAGGACGGGCACGCATTTCTGCGGGGGGGAAGGAGGTCGGGGGTGAGTTTTGCCGTTTGCCTCTGCCTCTCGGGGTCGAAATATCGATCTGATCGATTCGGCTGAGAGGTTCCGGGGGATCCCCAGAACAAAAGGTCACTGCAAGGTGCCTTGATGATTCCTTTGACGTCGTCGATGGACATCTTCGGGAAGTGGGCTCCTTTGATGTCTTCAAGACATTAAATTCACAAAAAAAAAGTACGACGGAGAACGCGAACATCGACGAAAGTGTCGGAATTCTGGGTTGGTTTTCGTTACGGACGAACAATTTCGTGTAAAAAAAAATTACGGGACATTTTCGTCGCAGCCAAATTTCGCCTTTAGTCGGGAATTTTCGTCAACGAAGAATTTCGCTTCAGTTAAATCAAGAGTTGAAAATCCTTGCTGAAACGCGAGCTTAATTCCACTTTTGAAAAATGAAATTCTGACAATTTTGCGCTACAGTAGTGGCAAATATCTTTCAGTAATTTCAAGTAACAATAACACGCTAAATAAGTATTTTAATATTTTAATAATTCAACAGCTTCTCTAAATTACGGAGGCGCAAAACTGCGGAGCAGAACACCTCATACTCAATGCCCATGCTCATTAGTGAGCAGGAATGCTTCATTCGCATGCAAAGTCTCTCATTGCACCAAGTTTCACTTGTGACCGACATGGGAAGCTCCCTTCATTCTTGAATGACTGATTGATTGGAATGATTGATTGATTGGCATCTTCAGGGGACAAGACAGACAAATATAGAAAGGATTTCGAATTGCATTGTGGCATTTTTGTCGAGGATCGAACGCAACTGTCAATATGACTGTCTTTTATTTTGTTGTCAGAACGTTTTATTTTGTTGTTTGTTGCCTTATGTCAGAACGATCAGACGTCTCTGGTTCTTCCAAATGACGGCATACCCAAACGGAATTCGGGATATTAATGCAAGGAGACAGACGAAACCCAAATCGATCGATCGATCTGAACAGTTTGGATAGCAAGAAAAAAAAAATCAAACCTGCTGCTTCATCAGATCTTTAATTATTAATGCCCGATCAATACCCTTGCCGATTATCACGAGGCCAATCCGCGATAGAACAGATTATCGGCCCTCCACGTAACAATTCTCGGTGAAGGGAGCGAGAGGATCCCAAAACTCCTTAAGCGTGCGTCCTCATTTGCATAAACGGTCGAGTTCTGATGAATGAGATGCAGTGACCCTCGAGTCAATCTCTCTCGGTCCTCGCCTCAGCCTCAGCCTACTGGGATTTTCGCAGTCGATTCATCATTCCACCGTTAGCCGAGTGAAATGTCGGTGGCTGAGTGCCGGACCTCCCGCGCTTTTCTGTTCGCTTGCATGTAAACACTTGATGGTGTCGGAGGGCGAAGGTGAGAGAGAAATTCCATTTAGTATGCACCGGGAAGACTTGAATTACTCTTCGATGTTCTGGTTAGCGATGTCGTGGGGCGGCCGAAAATGTTGAAAGATGGGTGAGAATCCCTTCAGCTCTTCTAAATGCGGGTTTCTACCATTGATGTCAGTCTCAGCTTACGGGGAATGATTCATAGAGTACTTCAGAGAAAGACTCAAGGGCACGATGACTGAGCTCTCGGGCGCTGAGTGTCTCTCAACAGGCGTGAAAACGCGAAAAAGCCTTCGTCCCCACTCGACGGACATCTGGCAAGAGCCGAGGGAATGCCCTCTGAGACAGGGCATTAATGCCCTGTCTCTGATTCCTGCTGTCTTCAACACGCTCACTGCCAAGTTCTGTACTGCTGATTGTTCACTCTTCGCGTAACTGTCTGTTACATTGACAGGCGTGGCAATAAATTCGTTAAGGCAGGTGTCACTGTATTTTTTTTTTCTGCTAGCAAATTCTTTTCACCTCGGAACACATACCATAGAGAGCTGTTCCTTTTTTCATTTGCGGTGGATTCCTTCTCTTTTTCACTTATTTTTCCTCCCTTTTGTTAACTTCTGTGCAAAGCGTAGGCTTTTAAATACGAATAGGCATTGATTTGCAACACGACTTTGTCGTTCATACGACTGTGCAAAAAATCTGATACCGTTTTCTGAATCATAACCTCGATAAGCAAATTTCGGTTTCCTTCGTTCGAGCAGACGGAAAGTCGGTAAAAGGCATTCGATGGGGAAATGGCATATAGCAAAATACACCAGAATGCATAAGAGAAGCTCAAAATACAGGGTATGCAGAAATTAATTCCAATTCTTGGTGACGTTCAAGGGCCCACATCGTTTTGCAACACATCCTTGCAATGGATTTAGTTTATGTTAGGGGTAATGAATATTTACTGGTTTCCGATGAGCTGCTGAAAAGTTCGGTTATCGGATCACTAAGCTGGTCAATTTTTAACAAAAATAAGCAAAAGCACAATGTATTGCAAAAAAGGGGAGAGTTAATGGAAACGATGAAAAAAGGTATTGCATGTAGCTCGGAGATCCATAGGGGTGTTATTTCCCATCATTTCTCACACTCTCTCCATTCTCAAGTTCCAATTTTTTTTTCACGCCCCCCCCCCCCCCACTCCCCCACTCCCCCCTCCCGCCTCTCTGAGACCTGCCCCACGTAATTGGGGAAACGCTTTTTTTCTTATCGATCCACATTCCTATCCATTAAAATTCTGACCGACCTCATCAAATCGACGTTCGCCACAAGGGACATCTTTACACAGATAAAAAGTAGCAAGTTTAAGAGGAAAAACCATGAAGCGAAGGTAGGCATTATTTCCGTGATAAGCGGTCAACTCAATGCGCGACATCTCTCTGGGTTTAAATTCGAAGACTAACACGTTTTTTTTTTGTCCACGAGTCGTGGTGCTTCCTAGGGCGATCCGAGGAGATGTAGCGGGGTTTCGCCTAGCCAGGAAATAACTTCGCAGACGAGTTCTGCTGCATCTGAAAATGTTCTCAGTTGCAGGGAAACATTTCCGAATGCTGAGCAACATTTTGTTGCCAGAAACTGTGAAAATGCCTATATGGTTGTATTCTTGGAGAGGGGGGGGGGGGGGGAAATATCGCGTTTGTCCACGGGCCAGGGAAGCAAGCATGTGCCATGTGCCCGTTCAAGTCCAACGGTAGAAGCTGGGATTTTCGAGTTTCTGACAGGAATACCCAAGAGAAGCCATGATCAACGGAATCGGAGACAGATTTACAAGTTTCCCCTCACGCAACCTGCCGGCGGAAGGAGAATACTTCCAAGGAAAGTAATTAGAAGTAGGACCCGAAGGTCGACGAGTGAAATTCAAATTTGAAAACCTTATAACCTTCCGAGCGGTGGTGCTACGGTGCTGCTGACGCTTTGGCCCGTGTCCACCTTTGCGGTGTCGTGACGGCACGGACGCGGGAGCCATCCAGCCGATGCATGGTGCTCTCCATCAGATTCGAGAGAGACATTGGGATGACGTCAGAGAGGTTTACACGTGTTCTGTGGATCTAGAAAAGGCGTGCGTGCATGGACAGGATTCGTAGGTGCAACATGGAAGGGGATCGATATCGGTGGCTTCTGAGTAAAGATAATTCTCTGAGGATGCCATCCTCTCGGCCTAGTCCAAACTGAAGTTCTGCTGGATCGGTTCGATTCCAAATGTACAGCGACTAGAAGGAAACTAAGGCGTCCCCTAAAACCTTGGTTATGATTCTCTCAAGAAATCCTGTGCATTGGGTTCATGTGGTTCAGCAGGTTTTGCTATAAAGATGCTTTCTCATCGGTCAGTACTTTTCAATACTTCCAGTCCAGATGTAGAATCCCTTAAGTTCTCAACATTATCAATGTGAGCCAAAGATTCAAGATATATAATACGTCACTATTAAATTAGATGAGTTCTTCTTGACTTCAGAGAAAGTACTTCTCGATTTTGCAAGAACTACAGGGTGGTTCAAAAGAAGGTAAGCGAAGTTCGTTTTGTCCCCCTTTTCGTTTCAAGTGATTATAATGAACCGAAATACCTCAATATATTCATTTGCGGGGTATTAACAAATTGCTTGCATTCATTTCACTTACATTTTTTTGGACCACCCTGTATCGAGCTGAAGTTTAAGTACATCGCACTCCGATTCTCGAGTGAAGGGCGATATGAAAACAAGATCGGTAATCTCATCTCCAAGGCTTCTGCAAGTTTGTGGGAACTCTGGCAGACCGTGGTTGCAGAGCGAAAATTTCCTAGGAAGCGAAACCTAATTTTTTAAAGAGTGCTTATCATCTCAACTATGGCCACGAACTAACGAGATGACCGAAAGAACCATCGCGGATACAATCGCGTGTTCGCCATAGGTGGGGGAGAGGCGACTGCCCCACCCATCCTTGGGAGTGGGTAGGATGATCCCCAGGGGTGGTCCTCAAAATGAAATTGCGTTTTTTTTTTTACTCATGCATAATCGTGAGGGAAAAATCCGAGGAAAAACTTTTTCCTCCATACAACCTCGGCCTAAGACGGCGTTCAGTCCGTCCCGCAAGTTTCCCGCCTAGCACCTCCCTCGCATCATCGCTCAACACCTCCGTCGCAACTTCCCTCAGCGCTCCGTCGCATCATAACTCAGCACCTTCGCTCGGCACCCTCTCCTCTTCCCTCCGACATCAGCCTTTAGAGCCTTCTTTCTGCCCCGACCCCCTTGGCTCATGAGCCAAAATACTCACGTCTCCAGGGCTTGGGTGAATGGGATTTTCTAGGTAATTCAAAGCGTGCCGCTAGTTAAAAAAAAAAAAGATTGAGGACCACTCTGAGTAATGATGTAGCCAGGGGAGGATGAATGAACACGTCATATAAAGGTAAGCAGTAGGGGAACAACTCTCATGATCGGTGCTTGACTTGCCAGAGAAATTCCCCCTAGAGCAGGGGTCGGGAACCTATGGTTCATGAGCCAAATAGTTTGGCTTATTGAATCATGGCTAAAAAAAACATGGTTGTTCTTAATTTTTCTCATGAATCAAAGAATACACATGTCTGTTGCGAAATTCAGGAAAAATTGTGTTGTTTTGAAAATCTTTCGCTCACAAGCACTTAGCTCAATCTTAATATGGCTCACATGGCCTAAAGGGTTCCCGACCTCTGCCCTAGAGGGCCCAAACTGAGATTAATTCTAACTTCATAGCTAATGGCACCGGTGACCGGTGGTAAAGAGGGTCAGCACTCACTTTAGGTCCTTTCCTACTCCCTTTCATTGCCATTTTAGATAAGTCAGATGGTGGCCATAAAGTCAAGGATACAAGGTGACCATAAAGTCAAGCATCATGCTGTAGTAACTGTTTTTCTTTTAAAGGTATTTATCATACTGCTGAAATAAATGCTCTTTCAAAAGAAGAACGAGTGAAATGGGCCCCGCAATCACCGGACTTGACCCAAATGTATTTTTTTTTCTGTTGGGGTTACATTAGTGTTAAGATACGAGACACGTAGCACCTTAAAGAACGCATGACACAGAGTTGTGAATCTGTGAATATGGATGAAGCTATACACTTTTCCGTGTGCGGGCTAATTGGATAAAGCGTTTGCGCAAGTGTGGAATTTGAAGGAAAACATTTTTACCAAATAATGTAATATGCCTATGATGCTTGACTTTATGGCCACCGTGTAGACAGTTATAGTTCTCGTCTGGTTATAGCTCTCGGGGTCCCGTGTTGACGATTAATGAAAAATAATGGAGCTGAAACTGCAACTAAACGACTGTGACGGAACTAGCACATTTTATTTGAAACCAACCATAGATTGTTTTAGGGTGTTTTAGAATAAGTTTTAGGGTGGATTTTTGAACAGAGTACTATCCGATAATGCTGCTTTATTTACCGGATTTATAATGCATTTTCTCAGAAATAAAGCTGCATTATCGGATAGTTCTCTGTTCAAAAATCCACCCTTAATACAGAGACGTTGTGCTTCCGAGTGCCGNCGATAATGCTGCTTTATTTACCGGATTTATAATGCATTTTCTCAGAAATAAAGCTGCATTATCGGATAGTTCTCTGTTCAAAAATCCACCCTTAATACAGAGACGTTGTGCTTCCGAGTGCCGGCGTGACGAAACAACTGATGAATCGGATTAGTTTAACGACGTGCTAAGCACGTTTATTATAGGGTGGCATGCAGATCTGTTTAACTTAAACTAATCTGATCTCACAAGGGTCCTCTACGGGAATCCGTTTGTCGGAGATTATCTTATTCCCATTGACGCCCATTACGAAACGAGACAAGTTTAGAGTTAAACGGATATGATGCATGTCACCCACAGTCTCCTATCCCCCCGGTGTAGATATAAACATTATTTTCCCTTTGGATCGAACTTTGTAAATATTCCTCCCCCCCCCTTTAAAAAAAAACCGCTTGCGTGCGAATTCACTCCAAACTTTTTGACTGTCGGTGTAAAACCCACTGCTGCGATACGAATAATCACAGTTTTCCTCGTAAAACGTAATTTCCACTAAGACCCACAAATCCAGCAGTGCAGCCTTCAACCTCACGAGCGAACGTCTTCAACCGGGGAATCAGCGGCAACGCGGAGTCACAGCTTCACCGCGAGGTCGAAGCGATCGTCCTCCACGGGACGCGTTTCCGCGACCTTCAGATTCGCGATTCGCTTCCGCGACCTTCCGCGACCGTCTGAGTGATGCCGCTGCGAGGACCTCTGCGTCTGCAGCTCATCATCCTCATACTTGGCCGTATACTTCCGAAGGCTTCAATTTCGTACGTTTGCATTGGGAATATAACTATATTGTATTTTTACGATATTCCAACGCTCTGTACCGATAACTATAACCGGTATTGAAAGAGTAGCACTTTAATGAAGTTAGCAATACGAATAGAAAATTGAGATTCCAAATTTTTCATTCTCTCTCCTTCAAAGTTTGTTTTTTTTCCTATGCCAAATTCACTGCCTCATCAGCTTTCTATGCATGACAGATTGTCAGTCTACTTTCCCCCATTGTATGCATCTAAGCAAATCTGCCAATGACATCCGGTTCACCCGCTTTTCCTTCGTTTTTATTGTCCCCCACAAACCACTGTTCAACAGTGCGTGGTGATTGAGCCATCAATTAGACATACCAAGGCCTATTCATTTCACTGCAAGGACGTCACTCTTCACGAGGGTGGTGTTTTATTTCAGTTGGCTCATTTCCTACTAGGTCCGTGTAGAATATAAATTCTAATTAGAGCCGTCGTGATACATGGTCAGTACCATCGTATCAGGCTTGGCAATGCATCAGCTGAGAAGGAAAATTTCAGAATTTTTTCCGGTGCAAAAATGATGGGATTCGACTGAACCTAGAAAACGATTATAAAAGTAACCAAGAAAACCGAAGTCGAAACGGCTGTGGCTCCTAAAATATGTGGGAAGATAGAGCAGATGGAGATAAAGAAACATGCTTTTTTTTTTTTTACTTCTCTCTATCTCTATCTCTCTCACTCTCTCTCCATCCGGACTGGCTTCCGGCCCTTCCCTGCTTGATACCGCACAGAATAGACCCCGAATCGTGAAGGATGGTCACACAAGGCCGGATATTCTTGTCGGAGGTAATTTCCGTTCTTTCTTCTTCCCGTTTCTCGCAGCAATCGATAATGATATATTTTGCTGTCGTATCAATGCTTCAGATGAATGCACAGATGTTTCCAAGACTCCGATTGTAAAAACCCCAATAATCCGAATTCAAAGTTAGACCAAAGAACACCCGACGCCAACTGGCATCCTGCGCTGATATTGTGGGACCTGGCAACCAATCCATCAAGATTGGCATCGAAAGAGTAAAATATCGGATTGCATACATTTATCAATATCTTCAATATCGAACCAATACCAACATAATATTGTTGTATCCCTAGCTTGCATATACAGCACAAAACAGTGCCTCGAACGATAGAATGATGCCCCTGTGAGCTACAGATGGCACACGACACAGCCCGAAAGTAACATTTGTCATCTGACAACCGGGCGACAGTATGAATTAGAAGGGTCAGTACACAAAGCTTTTCAATAAGGACTTTGTATAATGACTATTCCTATTAAGAACGAGGTCTTTTTCTTTTAGGGATACACTGTTGAAATTGTTATAATAAAAACGGATCAAATTCTTGAAATATTATGCTCTATCGGACAATAGGGAACTATAAATTTTGTTACTCCGATCTTATCTTCACATATCGCCCCTTCTCTCTCTCTCTCTCTCTCTCTCTCTCTCTCTCTTTCCTCCCGAGGTTGACGAGGGAATGCGTCAAAGAATCAATCGAGAAAGGTTATACAATTCATTACGGGAAAAAAAATCTTCACCAGAAAAAAAAGACCGGAACGCGCAATGGCGTTCCATCTCCCGGGAACGTGACCGAACGGCGTGCCTGGTCGATGTATTGAATAAGAATCCGCTCCA